TCATCACAAACTAGAACATAAATAAGTTTGGTGTTCCAACCTTTGAAGTAGTGGGAAGGTAAATCCTTTAGATTATGCTATAATAAGTATTTTTAGATAATATATATGAAGACCAAGTTGCTAAAACAAGGTCAAACAACTTCTATACAACAAAAAGAGGCCGCAACCATACAAAAAGCCAAACCATCTTGGTCTTCACACCTTCGTTTCATTTAGTGTTTTGTCTTTTACGTTCAAAGAGCCAGGTAATAGCAACCAAATCATAAGGATTTTAACAGTATTAACATCGCAAAAATATGAAAAATATAGTGATAAATGAATCGGTTTTAGATTACCATCAGAATATCAGAAAAATGTCATTCGCTTACCGAACCTGCCTGCTCAAGGATGATGCAAGCATAGCCGGCATTCCTAAGCCGGCGCGTAAGCTGAATTGCTGTAGTGAAAGCCAGTTGGTGTGAGTTGACTAGCATTTCCTCATCTACACCCAGGCACCTCTGTGAAACGGAATTCACCTCATCAGACAATGAGGATTTGTCCGAAGATGCATGAAGTTTAGCCGTGGCAAGGAGCGATAATGAGTCCTGGCAACCCACATTCCGATCGAATTCGGAGCAGAGATTATAACTATTGGAGCCACTGATTGGTTGAAGATTGTTTGCCAAAGTATTGGGGGGTGCACCTTTGTTCTGTAAAGCGGTGTAGCCTGGTCCAATACTCAAAGAGGATCTGAAAGGGCTCTTTTGAATAGCCATAACAGAGCCCCGGACAGAAATATCATTGGTACTACCACAACTATTGAGACCTGATGTTTTAGTAGACATGCGTGAAAATTGATCAAGTGAGTCAGCCGACCTGCTTTCCCAACCGACGACGATCTGGCAAGGTACCAGTGTACGAGGAAGTATGTGCTATAAGGGAAATTTTAAAAATCATAGGATAAAAGCAGCCTCTGAACATACTAAATAATGCTATGAAAATAAAGTCTAAGCAATGATTAAAGGTGTGAAGACTAAGATGATGGCAATTAGTATAATCACGGCCTCCTTCCGTTGTATATAAGTGGAGACCTGATTTTCGCAACTTGGTCGTATTGTCAGGGAGACCTAGATGAATGCACCTTGTCCAGAGTTCATAGTATCCATCATAATTTTCAGTGTCTAATCACGGACTTTATACATTTTCACAGGAATCGTCATTGAGCCCTGACATTCTGCGTATCATACTAGAGCTCGTCAAATAGACAAGTGAAGTCGATCCTTTGGCCAATTGTGTTATCCCTCTTTCTTTTCTGGGGAATTCCCCTATCCTATATTCTCGTATCATTACGTCAAACTGACGATTTCTTGCTAATTAAAACCTAGTTCAGGCTCGACCTTAGGAGAAGGTCTAGTAAGACATATTCCCATTACCTAATCCCTCCGACTATACTGAGTGACTTGATCTAAGTCTGCCCTTTTAGTCAGCAATCCTCTTCATCCAAGTCCTATCAGAATATCCCTTTTATCCTGTAAAATACGTCTCCTATCTCCACAGTCCAGTGATTTTACTCGATCACTGTCGCTATATCAGGGCATTATGTTCTACACTTTTGATTGTACGCATACTTCCGCCTCATTAAGCAGGTCCCAAAAATCTGAGTGGAAAACTTAGTTGACGATGTAGATTCCCTTATACCCAGGATGACCTTGTGGCAAAGCCTTTACTTCACGTCTATTATCAAAACCCGTGATATGTGAGCCAACTATCTCTAGTCTTGGGGTACAGGAGACAACGCACCTAGTCCGAAGTCGTCTGCCATAGTAGTTGTCATGATTCCCAGCATCAGACAGTGGACTTGGTGCATTATAAAACTTTTCGCCGGCATCTACCTAGTCCGAAGTCGTCTACCATAGTAGTTGTCATGATTCCCAGCATCAGAAAGTGGACTTGGTACATTCTCAAACGTTTCGCCGGCATCAGAATCGGCATCATCAGTGAGTTTTACCATTCTCCGCACCAAACTCACTGACGATGCCGACTC